ATTCTGGGAGTTGAAGTCCACCCATCTTAAAGTTGCTGAGGTTGAGGAACCCTGCTGTACAACGCCTGGTGTTTCCCAATCCGATCTGAGTCTCTGGAGTTTGCTCCTTAGAAATCAGCCCGGCGTTGCACTCGAGGGAAGGGGAATCCAGCAAGCAAACCTCTTCGAGTTCAAGCCAGGGACTTCACAAGGCGTACTGAGATGCAAGGAAGTTTGGCTGTCTTAAGCTATTTGGCTACTAGCTTAGGGCGGTAACTTGGCCCATCCGGGGTCCCTTACATCAGAGGAAACTGGGGAGGGGGCATCGACTTGGGACCCCCTTGGCAAATGGCAGGAAACACTGGGAATGTTAGTTCAGCAAACGTCTGGAGGGAGACGGGTCCCCGGATTCCATTTTTAAGTCTGGGGGGGCCCTTCAGATCTTTCTTCACCTTGGCCGGTCCCGCTGCCCGTCCCCTGCTCCTCGTCCACCCTGCTCCCAGCCGGAAAGCCACCCAGTGTGTCTAGGGCCAAATGGTGAGCTCATGCTGGGGTGAAACTTAAGAAGGCAGATGCCCTCGTTGTGGTGCCAGGCTCTGAGCTCAGGTTGGTATTTTTAGAGGCTTTCTCCAACTTCTCTCGCTGAAAGGAACAGCAGCGCCTTGAGGGGACCCGGTAGGCTGCGGGCAGGTCAGAAAAGTGAGTGCCGGAGAGGGAAAGTGCCTGTAAATGTGCGCGTGTGAGAAGTAAAGCATTTCTTTAAAACTGTGTCATTTGGCAAGTCTGCGCTGATGTGGGCCTGAAAGCTTGTGCAGAGAAGGAGGACCTGTCTTGCTGTGGGGTGTGATTGCTAAGGTGGGGGCTGTGAACTGAGCCTGGAGCAAGAGTGGCTGTTTTTAGAATGCCCCACAACCCCCCTGCAAGGTAGGCTGTACAGAGTCAGGGCCGAGCTGGGGAGTGGGGTGGGATCAAAATCCCAGCTGAACTCGGGCGTTGATGGTGCAGAAGCAAAACATACGTGTGCAGGTCCTTGCAGGGATCCCCCACGAGAATTTGCACACCTGTGGCTATGTTAATAGCCAAGAGGTACGTGTCGGTTGTGTGCGTGTGAAAGAGAGACTTGGTGGGCCTTGGTCCCTAGTGCAAATGGGGGGGGGACACATAAATGCAGCGTGCCAAGGA